AGGTTTGAACAGATTGCTAAAAGTGTCTGTGACACACACCCACACACGAAAGGTCAGGAAGAATCTTTAGTTTACATAGAGAGGAGACAGAGAGGTAGAAAGGGGGAGAATGGAAGAATGATGGGCAAATTTCTAATCTGCCCTGTCTCCCTCCTTTGCCATCCTCCCCACACTCTCACTTGGGGACTTCAGCATACTTATTTTTGTACTGTGTTTGGCACATATAAGCACTCAATAAATGCTAACTGTATCACCTGAGAGCCTCTCCATTTTTATCATCTTCAGTTCCCAGGAACTCCATTTTTACTTCACAAAAACCACAGGCAGATATGGTCTCACCTTGATCTCACCATCACCAATAATTTCCATCTCCACGAGACAGAGCTCTGAAATTTGTCTCAGATCATAATCTTTTACCCTTCAATCTCTACCTCTGCCTCATTCTTTAAACTTATTTTTTTGTCTTCATCCTGACATCTCAAGTCACTTTACCCTCCCTGCTTTTCTAGTCCATCACTTTGGCTATGGCCTCCCTTTCCTCCCTTATGAATCTCAAACCTCTTATTAACCAGTTCTACTTTAAATTGTCTCCTGTCTTCTCTCGTTCCCTGACATGCCTCACCAAACCCTAGTCCTTGGTTACCTCCTGCCATCCACCTACCCTTTCTGCTGCTGAATACTGCTGGAAAAAGTCATATATGTATGCTGAACCTGTACCCTTCCCATTTTTGTTGTCTGATGTCAGATGGACTTATACTGCTGCAAGGTAATTTTTTTGCTTTCTATTGTAAAATTCCTCACGATATCTGTTCCATATCTTTTCTTCTCAAGCCACTGAGTTGGGGCAGATAGGTGGTGCAGTGGATAGAGATCTGAGCCTGGATTCAGTAAGATCTAATTTCAGATTCAGTCTCAGATTCTTACTAGCTATGTGACCCTGATCAAAACACTTAACCTCTATTTGCCTCAGTCTCCTCAACTGTAAAGTAGGAATAATAACAATACCTACCTTGAATCAAATTAGATAATATTTGTAAAGTGCTTAGTATGGTACCTGGCATATTGTAGGAGATATATAAATGTTTATTCCCTTGGCTTCTCTTCCCCTAGTGCCACCCTGTCCTTCTCAGCAGAGCTCCTTCTTTGTAGCTCTCTTGACAAACATACTTGACAGAGTAAGCAGAGGCCCTCTGTTGTGTGTTCCCTTCTTTCCCCAATTCTGTTCCTCAGATTCACTCAACATTTTCTCAGTTCTCTCCAGTGTCTGATAAAAATGTGCCAACTCCTTTATACTTATTCCTTTATTCCCATCCCTTCCCTTCTCTGGGATTTTGTCCCTTAGATCATCCCCCTTTTTTTTTTCTCAAATTTTCCATCTCATTTAACTCCTACTAACTTCTTCCCTGTAACTATAAACATAGGCAAATCTGTTAAATCTTTAAAAAAGCTTCATTTGACCCCTTCATTTCCTCAGAGTTTTCTCTCATCTCTTTCACAACAAATCTAGAAAAAGCTGTTTGCCTTTATTCCCTTTCCTCTAGCTCACTTCTTAATCCCTTGCTTTCTGTCTTTTCACCCCACTACTCAACTAAAACAGCTCTTACCAAGCTTACTAATGGTCTTTTGATTGCCAAGTCCTGTGACTTTTTCTCCTTGAGCTCTCTGTAGTACTTAACACTTTTGACAAACCCTTCCTTGATATTCTGTCCTATAGGTTTTCCTGGCATCTTTCTCTCCTGCTTCTCCTCTTATCTGTTTGATTCTTTTCAGTCACCTTTGCAGGATCATAACTCATGTCCCACTTCTTTGCATGAGTGTAACCCAGATCCTCTACCCTCTTTCTTCTCTGAGTCAGTAAACATTTATTAATCTCCTACTATGTATCAGGCACTATGTTAAGTGCTACCTCTGTCTGTTTCTCACCTTACATCACTTCAGCAACTCTCCTGGCTTCAACTGTTATCTCTAAGCAGATGTCTCCTAAATCTACACATCTAGTTTTAATGTATCTTGAACTTTAGTCCCATATTACCTGTTCAAGATGGATGCACTCAAGGGCATCTCAAACTCATGTTTAAAGGGATATATATTCTTCTCTACCTTAAACTCATCCCTTTTCCTAATTTCCATATTTTTGTTGAAGGCACCACCATCCTTCTAGTCATGACAAACCAGTTTTATCACTTTGGTATCATCTTCAACTCTTTCCTCTCCCTCTTTCCCACTTCCTTCCCATGCCAAATAATTGCCAAGTCTTCTTGATTCTACTCCCTACAGCACCTCTTGCATCCTTCTTTATCTTTCTGTTCACAAGGCCACTACCCTAGTTCAGTCCTTCATTACCTTTGACCCAGCCTATTACAATGACCTTTTAATTAGAATCTGCTTCTAATGTCTCCCCTCCTCAATCCATTCCTAAAATACTGGGTTGACTGTGCCACACACCTTTTCAGTAAGCTTTGGTGACTCCCTGCCTCATTTAAGATAAAAGTCAATCTCTCTGTCACTTATGGCCCTTCACGGTTTGGCTCTAATTTGTCTTTCCAGACTGATTTCCCCACACATGATACATTAGAGCCAAACTGGCTATGCTGTTTCCTGTACATGATATTCCACCTCTTTGTCTTTTTTCAGGTTGAACCTCATATCTGAAGGGCTTTCCCTCCTCACTTCTATCTCTTGGAATCCCTTGACCCTGCCCAATGGCCCTTCCTGACTCTCCTCCCCAGTTTTAAGGGATTTTTAAAAGAAACTATTTTGTATTTCTTTTGTATGTATGTAATTTTGTATTTACATGTTATACATGTTGTTTTGCCCCACAAGAATGTAACTTCTTAAGAGGACTTACATTTTTGTCCTTGTACCTCAAGAGCCTTCTAGGTTCCTTTCACATAGCAGGCACTTAACAAATCGTTGTTAAATAGGATTGAAATTTGGAATATAATTCTTTGTAACAACTGAATTTAATAAAAATTGATTTTCTGGCTCAGAGTTAGAGCTATTAGACAAGTAGACATATTTCTGTTTCTGTTTCTGTTGGTGACTTGAAATAATTGTTTCTTTTGTGAGTGCATAAAGTCTCTTAAATAGCTCCCTTTTCTTCCCTGACATGTAAGAATTTCCTTTCAGTGCTCTAATTAGAAATTGCTGGATTGTACAATAAACAGAAAAGAAATTGCTTTTTTTCCCCATAGAACTGTTTCCTTGGGAATGCGCAAAAATCTAGGTATTTTTGGTAAAGGAGAATTTATCTTTCCCCCAATATTAAGTTTTTTGATTGTTGATAAGGATATTTTTAGATATTTGGATGTATGGCGTGTATTATTATTATTAAACAAATAATTTTTCTTTTTATATAGAGCTAGGTTGGTTCATTGTAGGTTAGTGCAATTTGTTATAGCTTTGGATTCATTGTTATATTCAAACCCCTGTTCTTTCTCAACAGTATTCATAAATTAAACATTTATTTCGTACCTACAATATCAAGGCATCATAACAGATTCCATGGCAGGAAAGAAGAAGATGTAGTCTCTTGTTTTGTAGAATTTTATAGTCCAGGCAAAATACTTATTCTTTAGCTTTGAGTAACATGAATGTGGTGAGAAGCAGATCCAGTTTGTGTATTTCTCTACATGTGTATGTCTATGTAATGGTGATAGTGTGTATATTTATTTCAGTATAAAGGTAAAGAGCACTGGTCTGGGAGTCTGGAGATATCCATGTTATTCAGTTTTCTTCATCCAACCAGATCGTATTTGTTATGCCATGCTTACATGGTTTATACACCATAGAAACCATGGAGAATTCTGAAGTTCTATAAACCATAATGTACTATGTAACTGTTATTTTGTATATTTGATTCAGTGTTATTCCCTAATCAATTTGTAGGTAATTTGTATATTGAAAATCTCTTAACAATCTTTGTAGGAGCTAGAAAAGTGATGGTTTGATTGAGATTTCTTTTTTTTTTTAATAGTACTGTTAATCATGAGATTAAGGTTTGGGGATGCTATTATTTATTTATTTGATCACCTTAAGCAATCAAAGCAGTAGGAAGTCTAAGAGGCTGTTCTGGATTCTCTGCACAGTCAGGCAGAGAGAATAGCATAAAATTAAAAGCTATAGCTTCACCAAGAACAAAAGTGTTTGGAAGCTCCACTTGATAAGCAAGTAGAGACAGATCTTTCAGGTTTGGTTACCATCTTGCTGAGGGATATGAAGATGCTCAACCAAACCCATCTCTAAAGAATGCTCTTGATGCAGGGACTTCTAGACAAAACAAAACCACCCTGCCCCTCCCCCAAACCAAGTGATGAGAAGTCAAAGGCTGAACATTTTACCAATACGGTATTTTGTAACCTCCAGATTTCAGAGTCCATATTTAAATTTTTTTTGACTTGGCCAGCGTAGGAGTTTGTTTTGCTTGATTATGTATGTTTGCAATAGTGGTTTTGTTTTTATTACTTTTTCACTAGTGGTTGGGCGGATTAAGAGGGAGAGGATGAGGACTTGAAAATAAAATAGAATTGAATTCTTAAAACAGGTTCCAACAGAATGCTTTTCATGTTTTTCTATGTATTGTGTGCTTATGTAATTCATGAGATGTTTATTCAGCTATAATTAGACAGTAAAATAATTTCAATGTGTTAAAAACAAACAAACAAACATTTCCTACCCCACACGCTGATTTCCAAGGATGAGTTGGAGTCCTGAGCAACTGGCTATTTTGTAAGAAACCACAGTGAGGCGAAGGGATAATAATCATAATTAACCAATAACTGATACATAACACCTGAAGGTTTGCAAACTGCTTTACACATCTTATCTTACTTGATTTTTTTTTTTCCACATTAGTCATGTTGTAAAGAAGAATTAGAACCAACCGGAGGAACCACAAGAAAGAAGAAACAGAACAAAACAGAAGAAAAAAAAAGAGCAAGTAGTATGCTTCAATCTGCATTCAAACTCCATAGTTCTTTCTTTGGATGTGGATAGCATTTTCCATCATGAGACCTTTGAAGCTGTCTTAGATCCTTGCATTGTTGAGAAGAGCTAAGTCTATCAAAGTTATTGACTGAGATTTCTTGATTGTGATAGTTAATGATGTTATATTTTTGCCCACAGCATCCCTTAGGAATGTGTGCGGGTATCCAGCCTGGCTCTGAAGGGAACTGGATCCCTACTGGGGATACAGATATCAGGTCTACTGTGATGGTCCCAGATGGAAAGCTGTTATCCCTGAATAAGATGACTATCTCTCTGAACTCCCAAATTCTAGATGTACATAAACAAGACAAGTTGCTAAGAATAAGTTTCCCCAGGGAACAGGTTAACATTCTAGAAAGAGAAAGGTTTAATCCAGAGGCTTCTCGCCAGAGCTTCAGATGTTTTTCATACCCAGAGAAAGCCGGACCACGTGAGGCTGTGAACCAGCTCTGGGAACTCTGCCTTCAGTGGTTAAGGCCAGAGATTCACACAAAGGAGCAGATCCTGGAGCTGCTGGTGCTGGAGCAATTCCTGACCATCTTGCCCAGTGAGATCAGGATTTGGGTGAAGTCACAGCATCCAGAAAATATTGAGGAAGTGGTCTGCTTGGTGGAGGATTTGACCCAAATTCTTAAGGAGGAAGGTAAGTTAAGGAAGTATACCATAAGAGAACAAAATCTCTTCAGATTGTGAGAAATAAGAATAGACAACCCAGGAACAGGGTTGGAGAAACAGTAGTGAAGGAAAAACACAGTAGAGAGAAAGGAGATCTTTGGATTGGGGGTAATGAGGAAACAGGTACTATTCAGTTTCAATTCTGGTCTTTTTTCTCATGTTATCTAGCCTAGTCGCTTCATTTTAACTTGACTCCATGCAAACAGTTGGCTGCAAAAAAAGAAAAAAAAGTGACAGGAGAAACAATCACAGTAGTAAGCCTCTTATAAACTTTCACAGAGATTTCCTGTCAAGGTTTATAGCATCCCCATCCATCAACCAGTCCTGGTATTGGTCTTAACAATAATAATTTTTATTTAAAAAAATATATTTTTAAGAACTCTGTGAGGTAAGAAAGATTGATGTGGTTATTCCAGTTTTGGAGATGAGAAAACTAAGGTATAGTATAGTAAGGTATAGTCAGTTGACTTGCTATAAGGGTTATACAAATAGATTAAGTTCTTGGATCCCAGGTCTCATCTTGTGCTCTTTTATCTAGGTCATATTTCCTCCCTGATAGAAGATATAAACTTTCTATGAAGCCATTTTCCATAAGAAACTCAGGAAAATTGATTTTATTTCATATTCTATGAAATAGGAAAATAAATATTTTCTTGTGAAGTAGAGAGATAACCATGACAGATACCTAGAATTACGCATTCCATGTGATATATCATATTAGAAACAATTTTGAAGTTAGTACATTCAAACCAGAATTCTGTCATTGGAAACTTGCTATCACTGAAAAGGCATTGTCAGAACACTAGAGCCATCGGCAGCACTACCCTTCTTTCTAAATTTGTTGGGACCTGGGGGCTGATCCTATTTCCATCCTTTGTCCCCTCTAGCTTTGCATTCTCAGGATTCTGTAATTCTCCAAGATAGGAACACAGAGAAAGAAGAAAAGTCTGCTCTGTTTCCATCAGCCCAATTTCAGGTGAGTAGAATGTATTCTCCCTTTCCAAAAATGCCATCTTGGTTCTCGGGATATTCACATTTCATTCATTTTTACTAGCATTTTTACTATTCTTTGTCTAACCAAGTCGTGTCCAGAGTTCTCTATTTTATTTTCTCCCAAGAGACTGGACCCATCCTAGTTGATGATGGATTCATTAGGGGATACATTTCACATCCTGCTGTCTTCTCTACTTAACCTGCACTCATTTATTTATATTTTTATACTCAGTACTATGCAAGTCTTTCTGAAGGATATAAAAGAAATATGAACTACATACCAATATGAACTATTGGTATCACGAAGACTTTACGTCTTTATTAGAGTAACAAGGTCAACGTTTAGGAAAGTAAAGAGCAATTGAAGTCCATGCCAAATATGTGCCAAAATATGTGCTATGAAACATGACATGTAACTAACTGTTAAAGGAAGAAACCTAGCTTACTAAACTGTGAAAGTAAGGAACAGGTTTAAAAGCACTCACTGGGACTGGGACTAAGGTTCTGTTATTTGGGTAACAAAGATTGGAGTGAAAATTAGCTAAGTGCTCAGTCATACTCAAAATGATATTCTTAGAATTATAGTCATCACTGAATTATAAACATTTATAAACAATTATAAACATCACATCACTGGTGATACTCTAACATGAAGAAAAAGGGGTCGTCCGGTAACTTGTTAATGGTTATAAATTCCAACAGATTTTTAAACATGTTTTCTGGATTAGGCAATTGAAGAAGTTGTGTTTTAGTCTCTGGGACTGCTTTCTCCCTTAAAATCACTGAGTCATGCCTACATGGACTCTGGGGATTTTCTTTTTCTCCAAAGCATTTGCTAGATCATAGTAAAAGCAGTAAGTCAAACTTCAGACTAATTAAATGCTTTCTGCTAACAACTTTTTTTCTTTCTTTCTTTCTTTCTTTTTAGTTTTCAACATTTACTTCCACAGGCTTTTGAGTTCCAAATTTTCTCCCCATCTTTCCCCTCCCCCCATTCCATGATGATGTGCATTCTGATTACCCCTTCTACCAATCTGCCCTCCTTTCTATCACCTCCCTCCCCCTTCTCTTACCTTCTATTTTCCTGTAGAGCAAGATAGACTTCTATACCCCATTGCCTGCGTATCTTATTTCCTAGTTGTATGTAAAAACAATTTTTAACATTTGTTTTTAAAACTCTGAGTTCCAAATTCCCACCCACCCTCATTGAGAAGTGAGCAATTTGATATAGGTTATACATGTGTAGTCATGCAAAACACTTCCATAATAGTCATGTTGTGAAAGACTAACTATATTTCCCTCCATCCTATCCTGTTTATTCTATTCTCTCCTTTGAATATATCCGTCCTCAGAAGTGTTTGCTTCTGGTTATCCTTTCCCCCAATCTGCCCTTCCTTCTATCACCCCCCCGTATGCTATCCCCCCCCCACTTTTCTGTAGGGTAGGATAGATTTCCATATCCAATTGAGTATGTATGTTACTCCTTCCTTAAGCCAAGTCCAATGAGAATAAGGTTCGCTCATTCCCTCTCACCTCTCCCCTCTTCCCCTCCACTGTAAAAGCTTTTTTTATGTGAGATAATTTACCCCATTCCACCTCTCCCTTTCTCCTCTCGGTACATTCTTTTCTCACCCCTTAATTTTATTTTTTAGATATCATCCCTTCATATTCAACTCACCCTGTGCCGTCTGTCGATATATATTACCTCCAACTACCCTAATAATGAGAAAGGTCTCATGAGTTACAAGTATCTTTCCATGTAGGAATGTAAACAGTTCAACTTTAATAAGTCCCTTATGATTTCTCTTTCTTTTTAATTTTTCATGTTTCTTTTGAGTCTTGTATTTGAAAGTCAAATTTTCCATTCAGCTCTAGTTTCTTCATCAAGAATGCTTGAAAGTCCTCTACTTCACTGAATGTCCATTTCTTCCCCTGAAGAACCATACTCAGTTTAGCTGGGGTAGGTGATTCTTGGTTTTAATCCTAGCTTCTTTGACCTCTGGAATATATTCCAAGCCCTTCGATCCCTTTTGTAGAAGCTGCTAAATCTTCTGTTATCCTGATTGTGTTTCTACAGTACTTGAATTGTTTCTTTCTGGCTGCTTGCAATATTTTCTCCTTGACCTGGGAACTCTAGAATTTGGCTATAATATCCCTTGGAGTTTTCATTTGGGTGTCTCTTTCAGGAAGTGATCGGTGGATTCTTTCCATTTCTATTTTACCCTTCGGTTCTAGAATATCAGGGCAGTGTTCCTTCATAATTTCTTAGAAGATGATGTGTTGGCTCTTTTTTTTATCATGGCTTTTCAGGCAGTACAATAATTTAAAAATTATCTTTCCTGTATCTATTTTCCAGGTCACTTATTTTTCCAGTGAGATATTTCACATTGTCTTCAATTTTTTTCATTCTTTTGGTTTTGTTTTATAATTTCTTGATTTCCCATAGAGTCATTAGCTTCCATTTGCATTGTTGTAATTGTTAAGGAATTATTTTCTTCAGTGAGCTTTTGGACCTCCTTTTCCATTTGGCCAATCCTGCTTTTTACGGCATTTTTCCCCTCATTGGCTTTTTGGACCTTTTTTGCCATTGGTCTGGTCTGTTTTTTAAGGTCTTGTCTTCTTAAGTTTTTTTTTTCTTTTGGTCTCCTTTAGCGAGCTGTTGACTCATTTTTCATGATTTTCTTGCGTTACTCTCATTTCTCTTCCCGGTTTTTCCTCTACTTCTCTTACTTGCTTTTCAAAATCCTTTTTGAGCTCCTCCATCGCCTGAGATCAATTCCTATTTTTCTTGGAGGCTTTGGATATAGGAGCTTTGACTTTGTTGTCTTCGTCTTATTATATGTTTTGATCTTCCTTGTCACCAAAGTAAGATTCTATAGTCTTGAGTTTTTCTTCATTGTTTGCTCATATTCCCAGCAATTATTTGACTTTTTAACTCTTTGTTAAGATAGGGCTCTGCTTCCAGCGTGGAGGGCATACTGTCCCAAGCTTCAGGGGTTATGTGCAGCTGTTTTCAGAGATACTTCTAGGGACGGACTTACAGGTCCCTAGAAGTTCTTCCAAGGTGGTAAGATCTAAGGAGAGGTGTTTACTCCTCTCCTGGTCTGTGCTCTGGTCTATGAGTGACCACAAATACTCTTTTCTGCCCTGGAACTGTGAAGAGAGTACTCCCTCTACTGCTGCCCCACGCTCTCCTATGCCAGTGCTCTACCTTGCCCCAGGTCTGCTACCTGGGACTGCCACTCAGATCCAAGTATGGGCAAAGCAACAGAATCCTACCTTAGTGGCAGTAAAGAGATCCCTGTAATCTCTTTCTGATCAGTTGTTTGATTCCCTTACCATCTGCGGGCTGAGAGCTCTGGAAACAGCTGCTGCCACTGATACCAGTGCCACCACCCCAGGGCTTTTCTGGGGCCTGAGCTGGCCTGCCCTCCTCTTTCACCCAGGTCTGATAGACTTTCTACTGACCTTCTAAGTTGTCTTTGGCATTTGTCGGTTGAGAAGTCTGGAAACTGCCACAACTGCTAGTGATTCAGTCCCCTGAGGCCTGCTGGGGCTGGGCTGTGCTGGCGCTGCCCTCACTAGACTGCACTCCTCTCCCAGCCCAGCAAAATAGACCTTTCGTTTTGACCATCCAGATTGTTTTGGGCTGGAAATTTGTTTCACGCTATCTTTTTGTGGGTTCTGCTGCTCTAGAATTTATTGAGTCATTTTTTACAGGTATTTGGAGGGGTTTGGGGGAGAGCTCAAGCAAGTCCCTGCTTTTACTCTGCCATTTTGGCTACCCCCACTGACAGTTTTTGATTGAAGGATGTTAGAACTTGTAGTCCAACCCTATCATTTTACAAATGAAGAAAATGAAGCTCAGAGATTATGATTTTTTGGCAAGAATAAGCCTGGGTTTTATCGGGTAACCAAAAACCATCTTCAAAATGCATATAATTTTAGTTAGAGATTCATATGGCTGCCAAAGTGATTTTTCTAAAGCACGGATTTGACCATGTCACCTCACTACTCAGTACACCTTAGTGGCTCCCTTCTACCCTCTCAGAATCAAATATAAAATCCTTTGTTTAGCTTCTTATTGCCACCTCCTTGTTTCCCTGGCTTCCTTCAAGATTCAGTTCAAATCCCACCTTGTACAGGAGACTTTTCCTGTTCCCTCCTGCCTGTGTCTTCCCATATATATGTTTACACCATATATATCTTTTATGTACCTAGTTCTCTCCCATTAGGATGTAAGCTCCTTGTAGGCAGGGACCATGTTTTTGCTTTTTTTTTTTAATATCTTTTGCTCAGCACAGTGCCTAGTACATAGTGCTTAATAAATTCTTGTTTGTTGACTAGACTGATTGATTAACTGAATGGTTTTATTATATTTGATATTAAGAAATAATCAACTTTGACTTCTTACTGGTGATATAGGAAATCAAATTCATAAATAAGCACTAATTATTATTTTTGTCATTGAACTGTCACCAACCATTTTCCCCCCATTTTTATGGTATTTTATTTTTTCCAATTACATGTAAGGACAATTTTTAACATTGATGTTTTTAAAATTTTGAATTATAAATTTTCTCTCTCCCTCTCTCCTCCCTAAGATGGTAAGCAATCTGATATAGGTTATATATCATCATGTGAAACCTATTTCCATATTTGTCATGTTGTGAAAGAAGAAACAGTTTACAAAAACAATTCCAACTTATAAAAGAAAAAAGCACACACAAAAAAAGAAAGTAAAAATAACATGCTTTGATCTGCATTCAGAATCCATCAGTTCTTTCTCTGGATGTTTACCAACCTTTTTATTAGAATTCTTTTAATTAGCAAAAATGGACTTTGCCATAAATAGTAAAGTGCTCGAAAATGAGGGAGGAGGTGGTACCAAAGTCCTCTACAGATTGAATAGTATGTCTTTGAAACAGTCTAAGATCAGCTGTATTATTAAAGCAGTTGGATTCCAACAGAGATAATTTTAGC